GCTTATTCATGGCCTGGTTCCTTATTTGTTATAACAAAATCCATATTAGGCTATAATTACTAAATACAGAGGAGGAAGTAATGAGAGTAAGATAACTGAAGGTACAGCTGAACGTTAGAATTCAGCAACATTTTCTTTGTCATAACATCTTAGGAATGATACAATTCTAGACACGACTGCTTCATCATTAAACCCTTCGCTAGGAAGGACTGCTACTACCGCGCCGTTGTGTGAGGATTAGTGCACACCGCACATACAGTTTATTCACTATGCAGCTGCTGGTTCAATGGGGCCTGCTGATGGACAAAGTCCTTCATTCAGGGCAGCCCAGCAGTCGCGGTCAAAATAATCCCGCCGTGAAGGGGTTAAGGTTATAAACTGCAGTTGCCTGCAACGGCACCCGCAGCGGGGTCGTGCACATGTACACACCCATTCATCCTTTCTTTTCCTGCAGGACCCGCGTCATATCCCTGGCTGCCCAGAAGTTCATCTCGGACATTGCCAACGACGCGCTCCAACACTGCAAGATGAGAGGGTCGGGCCAGAGCTCCAAGAAGGTCGGCAAGGTGAGGAGTGTTTCAGTATTGCCCAGAAAGGTTCCCCCTGCTAGTAAAAAAAATCTACCCCAGACCATGCGATGAAACTAATGGCACATTCTGGTTCAAGAAAGAGTCATCACGAGTCATTGAGTTGTTGAGAGTATTGGCTGGGGAGAGTTAGGAATAGTATCCGAGAAAGAACCATTGACTGTGTGCATTAGCGATAGAGGGCGCTATATGCCTGATTCACGTGAACCAAGCAATGCATATCTTCTGTGTCTAAGATAACTGCACAAAAGTTGCTATGTGTATTCACTTTTCTGCAAGGTGGGATGTTTGCAAAGTCCCGCAGTGGCAGTCATGGGTAGAAACAGTCGCGCAGTGCTCCAGCGAGTAACTGGGGGCAAAAAGACTGGAACAACTACCTCATCAGAAGATTCATCCGCAGTGATGGCCGCGTTTATAACACACACTGTTTTTCCGTTTGTGGTCAACAGGACAAGAGATACACATTAACAATGGAAGACCTCACGCCCGCACTCAGCGAACACGGCATTAATGTGAAGAAACCATATTACTTCACGTAGTGCAGGAGGCAGTACAGACGAGGCACCGGTTCATGTTTTTATGTACATATTTATCTATTCCAAGCGCACCCTCTCCCAGAATCAGGGTTTTAACCGAGGGACAAATGTTTCATTTGACCAGATCACGACAGACTACTCCAAAAATTGACGACACTTCTAAAAATTCTCAATACATGCCTTCGGAAATTGAAAGGCAGTTGATATCATTTTGAGTGAGGCTTTACATACTATGAGCCAAATCCAGGCATACTGTAATGTTGAACTTACGTTCAAATAGATCAAATTCCCATTACTCGCAAAGATTTGAGAGAATGTTGGATTCAGAACTTGCAGAGTGCAGCCTCTACAAGCCTTTTGCAAGTTAAATTTGAATAAGCTCTGGTGCACTCGAGTTCTTCAAACTTACGTGCTCCATACTAAGGACACTGTTGCTACACCTCGTGATTCGGGCCAAGGTTTCACTTACTTACATAAGACACACCTTGCCTCGCCTCAATACATTGTACAGTTTTCATTGGATAAGAGGGGCGCCAAGGAACCAGTCCATTCCAGAGATTGTGGCCGCTATAAAAGCTTGCCCCGATTCACGAGGTACAGCAACAGTGTCTTTAACGTGGGGAATTCAGATCGTTTTGTTCATGTGCAATCAGATAACTCAGTGTACCAGACTTTATTCAAATTGAACTCGAAAAGGGCAAATTGCTCTGCATGGGGGGATCGATGCCGACATTATGCACATCTGAAAAAGTCCATTATTTCAGTCACTTGTCTCTCTCAAGCCATCAAGTCAAGGGCTATTCGGATTGAAATGGTGACCACTGCTCATCTCTTTGCCTGCAAACCGACTTGCCATCCCTTTTGTGATTTGACCAGTGGCAGATACATGGCTGACTGGCTTCTTTAGTGCCAAGAGAATGTGGTGTGTGGCTGTGTTGTCATTAGAGGGGGACCAATTTTTGCACGAGTGGTATCATTTCCGGGTTCTTGGGGAATTGGCTGATGTCAAAATAGCTACATGTAGCTAAACCTGACTTATTTTCAAGATGAACCATGTGACCTAAGTAGATCCTCAACTCCATTTTTCTTTCTTTTGGAATGGAATCAGTCAGCTGTGCTCTTTTTCTTGACGTGTGCTTCATACACCCTAGGGAAATACCCATGAATAAAGTGAGACTGCCTTTTTCTGAGCAAATTTCAATGTACTTGTTCTTCTTGCTTAAGCTTTTCTAAATGACTTTTTGTTGATGCTTCATCCGTGAAATTAAAATGCCAGAAGAATAACATATTGTTCTTGTTAATTCATTTATTTCAAATTGTGCCAGACCATGACAGCAACACTTATGGAAAATACAAGTCAATTCATGTACAATCTTTATGTGAAATTACTTTGAATAATTATGCATAATGATAATTTACATATATTGCATACTTTAAAGCAATTAGGAACAGGTATGTCATTCCAATATAATTTCTTTTTTCAAATACAGAACTCTGCTTGCACATACAGTTTTTAAAAAAATACTTGAAAAATGATGTGCACAATCAGCCATAACCATTTTGAATAAGGCACATTCTCGTTAATAATACTCAGTTCCTGTCTTCGGGGGAGAAGGTTAGCGTAGCGGTTCTTTCCTCGCTTTGCACCAATGAGGCCCAGGCTCGAGTCCCGGCTTGGCCCAGGCTTTAAAAGCAAATGGTTTCCAGTCCATACTTGCTGTTGCAGGTTTTCTCCGGGTACTCCGGTTTCCTCCTGCCTCTAAAACTGGGACCTTCTTCCTAACTCAGTAGGGACCCCATTGGAATTAAGTTGCAAAACTTTCATGGGCTATCCCTGGTATTACCTAACGGTGAGGTGATACCAAATCAATCTTATCCAACCCAATCCTTCCAAAAAAGTTCTAACCATCACGATCAGTTTTGAATAATCTAATAAGGCAGCTCTGTTCAGCTTAGGTTTCCCAGGTATTTTGTATACATGGAATTTCTATGCAGCACTTAACACCAGGGATCAACCGACCATCGGACATCAGATCAGCCCGATGTTCGGCAATACATCGGATCGGCAAAATTTGACTCCTTGCCAATATGAGTGCCAATGTTAAATTGAAGAAAGGAACAAACTCTGTGCTCAGTTTTGGCAAACACAAATCTCATATGTTTATTTGAGCATGAATAAAAAACTGTGGTTTACTCAGTGTGATAAATGAACAGTTACACCCACATAAAGTAGTTCCAAAAATTACGTCCGCATGCGATCTGTATATCGCGTACCGCAACAACTCAATGAACAGACCACAGCTGGCCCCAACGGAGCAGTCGGTGTACACTGTATACCGTTTCAATAGAGTACCGAAGTGTGACGTCACTGAACCAGAAAGTGCAGTGCAAACGAATGGAGTACGCGCGCGTGTTGGTTCACGTGCCGGTTCCCGCACTAATGCCTTTTACACACGAATTGTGCACGTGACGTATTCACCTCGGTACTCTATTGAATGTCACAAACGGAGGCACTGTGTGTCTAAATATTCTGCATACTGTACATGAGCGGACCGTGTGGGCGCTGTGTGCGTTGGGTGTGAATACAACGGAGCAACCCTACCGGTATCGTACTATCGTGCAAGGTGAGATGTGGCAACTCCCTGACGATAAACTCAAACAAAACTAATCCTCTACGAGAGGAATTTAGTATCAATACTATCCAAAGTGGCATTTTAAGCAGGTACACTGTTTTTGTGTTGTTAGGCCTACATCATGTTAAGGTTTTTATCGACACTTGCGTTCTTCAAGGACACTGTCAATGTCGGTAAAAACATCGGATCGGATCGGACATGTTGGACATCGGCCATTGTTAAAAATTAAAACATCAGACGTCGGATCAGTATTTAAAATCAGCACTGGTTGATCCCGACTTAACCCCGACCCCCCTTCCCCCGTTCCCTACCATTTTTTTCCCCCCAGGCACTTTGCAAATTAAATGCGGCACATTCCAATACAGCGAGCCTCGGTGACCTCACCAAGACGCGACTGTGGATGTTAGTGGCAACATTGCCTACTGTGCTGGATTTAACATCAACCTTGTCACTGATCTGTTACACCATGCCTATTAACCGGCCACCGGTGTTGCCACTCTGTGAATCCAGCGACGCACACCGACTTCTTGTTCACAGTTACGTTCTGTTGCTACAGAGTACCAACGTTGACGTCACTGTGAACAGAAAGTGCCGTATAAACGAGCGGAGTATGCGCGCGTTGGTTCTCGCTTTAATACCTGTGTGTATGACGCAGTCACTTCAGTACTCTGTAGCTACATACACGTGGCTGGGATTAATTTGTAGGAAATGCAGTTGGTGCTTTATGTTTCAGACCAACCTTCCGTTCCAAAAACAGAATTTTATATCACTCCATAACTGCAAAACTCAAGGTCTTGCAGCCTTGCGTCTAGGCGCAGAAACAAACTGCTTTGTTACATTGATATGCCAGTAGCCGAGTTCTGTGAGAGTACATGGAGATCTACTGGGTGTCCGCATAAAAGAGTATACCGAGATCAAAATTACATAGAAATGGGTCATTCTGTAAATTTGGGGTCCAAAGTGTGACATTTTTCCGTCCCTGTTCCCTCTGAAATGTCTACCATCGGACATGTTTGACACGGGATGTATCACTGAAATTGACTTTAAACTATTTTAATTTGTTTGGCAGCTAATTTGCAGAACTTTGGGAAATTAAACAATGAGTTCTAAACATTAAAAATCACATGCCAGACGTAACAGGGACGGGGAAAAAATTGGACCCCAAATTTATAGAATGACCCAGATGTCAGACGTGCATTGACAGGAATGGTGGCCATGTGGAGGGCACAGCACATTAAACTGATGAGGTCAGTAGCGAAAACAAAGCAGATAAGATTGGATGAGGTACATTCCTTGTTTTCAAGAATGTGTTCTTAAAGCAAAGGCATTTGGTACTCTGCATAAAGCTTGTCACAGTGCCAATTTCAGCACCCTTATTGATCTCGTTCGTTTACTCATCTGTGTCAACAACATCACAAGCTGTATACCAGTGCAAAGAGGACATTCTGCCCTTTCTAGAAATATATTTTTCCTTCCATATATAACGTAGTTTTGCCATTACAGTAATTTTTATCTTGGTATACATACTTATTATGTGGACACCCTGTACAGTGTACATGTACTTGTGTGGGAAAGTACAATTAAGCACCAGGGTGAGTGTAATAATTGATTGGGAAACAGCAGCAGTGCAGGATTCCCACCAGTCAGGCATACCGGGTACATCCTCCCTTGGTGTCTACAGCCTCTGATGATTCGAATCACCTCATGTGGAACTTCCATATGGTGTATCCGCCATCAAGACCAGAAGACTTTTAAGCTGGTGATGTGGTGGCAGTTGGCCCAGGCTTGTCACTGTTAGCCCTGTAGAAGATGCAAAGCCACACAACAAAATTTGATGAATAGGTGTACCACCACGGCAATATGAATTTTCAATCCAGGGCATCCAGTGCATTTAGAAGACTTCCCAAATGAGAAGCCTAAAGTTTGTGGTGGATCTCCATCATGATTATGGACAACGTGGAGGAGCTGTACTCAGCACCATGCTGTCTGGTCATCTAGCAAAGCCAGAGTGTGTTCAAATTTGTGCACTTTTAATTAATAACGCAAAGCCCCTTCCATATTTCATCTGAATGTGCACAAAAGCAGTAGCAAGTACATGTATACTAACAAATAACTGAGTGCTTCACCGCCAAGAAAATGGAATTCATAGAACACATGCACTCCAACATACACATTCTGCACTGTTAATCTTTGTTGTCAAAGTCAGCCAGCGTGGTCTGTACGACAAAAATGTTAGCGTGCAGATATGCCGAGGTGACATACATGTACCTGGCTTCAATCTTTTTGAGCAGCTCAACCTTCCAAGTGGGCATGTCACGGTACTTCCTCTCCTCGGCTCTTTGTTGCTAAAGACAAAGAAATTTAATGAGAGACCCTGCATTCAGTGTGTGACGGACCAGAAAGTCAGGAATTCTAGAAACAAGGAAAGTGCAGGAATTAGGGGAAACTGGAAAGTTCTCTTAACCAATCAGTTTCCTTGAATGTATATATCATTGGAATTAAAGTTGACAGTGACAATAAGCATGTGGCACAAAATAAAACGGCTTGAAGTAAAAACAAAAATGCACTCGCCATTTTGTTTAAATCACACAGCAGCGCTGGTGTCTGCCACACAGGAAGTTCAAGTGCCACATTTATCGCATTTTAATTCATGACGTAGAATCTAGAGATCTACTGCATGCGACAATGGGAATTTGTGGAAAGGAGTCATGAAGGTTTATCTAAAACACAAAAATCAAGAGAAGGCAGATTCACAAGCGCTGCCGAATTTTTTCATTTTTTTTTTGAAAGGGCGGGAGTTTCCATTCTCACCTTCTCTCGTTTGTACTCCTCCGCTGCCCGCTGGTTTGCCCTGTCCGCTTCCTTCTTGGCAAGGAACCGCCTCCTCCAATCCGGCAGCTCCGCCCCATTCTCAGCCACCAGGGGTATGCTGTCCAGGAAGTCGGCAGCGTAGAAGACCTTGGGGCCTCTGTCTTGCACGGGGCTGGGGCTCCTTGACGAGGGGTCCTTGTTTGTCTGAAAAATGGAAACGATGTAACAGTGGTGTGGTGTCACTGCCCGCTCTTCCTGCATTCTCAATGGAAATGAAGAAAAATCTACAAAATACCTGTCCCCAACCTCTGGACAAACTCCTGAGAACCTGACCCCCTGTGAAGAGGACTCACTTTACTGTCAGACTTTCACCACTACTGTGTGTACGTAGATTCAGCAAACCACACCCTAATTTTAAGGCCTGATTTCAGATCTACTGCTACTGCGGAAACATCAGCATCTTCCCTATGTACACTCTGGCACATGCACACATGCATGTACTTACATGTATGTAAAGACTCTCCAGGTTTATATACATGTATGTACACTGCAATAAAAATTAGCCTACACTTTCTGTGCCAGTTACACGCTTGCCCAGGCTGGGATTGTTGGACGGGAGAGATGTCATCGACGGGAAATTCAGAGCAAGGCTCATTTGCTTCTAAGCTCTTAGAGTGGGCTTCATTTTCAGGATGTGAAAAATAAAAACAGCGACGAAGCAAATTTTGCCACTTCAGGATGCCAGAGTCAATCACTTTCTGTGGCATGCCAGTTGCAATTCAATTCTCCTTAGAGCGACTGAGTGTAAATGCCATTTTGCTGGGGTGAGATTTCTCAGCTTTTCAGCTGATTTCAGCTTTTTGCGTTTTGGATTTCAGCTTTTATTTCCTCGCTGGCTGTGTACAAAAGTATAGGAGATTTTCACAGTTCAGCTTCTTTATGCCTTTTTTCAGCTGTTTTTATCATTGGTGAATTTCATCCCTGATCATGAGTCCAACCAGTAATGGGATGTTGGTATGCAACACTGGAAAGACGTTTGCCTGCATATTTGACTCAACTTGACAAATTAATGGATGGCTCCTAAGTTATCCCTCTCAGTAGGAAGTAACCAGCATTTCCATTAGTGTCACACAGACGTTCAATAGTGGGAGTGGTACGGCCCCAGTGGGGTGGGGGAAGGAGGGAGGGGCTACTGACTATCACAGTGTTGCAGTCTGTACATCCGTCTTTTCCTCCTAATGACAAACAGCTCCCTTGGGAGGTAATTCCACCGCAGCGGGGATATTTATTAATTCATACAACTCTTCAATCTAATCAGCAAATCTAATCAGCAATTGTTGCAGCCTCCACTGCTAATAAACCTGGGGCACAGTAATAAGATGGGATAAAACACAGCTTCTGAAATACTTTCATTTTAAAACAGAATTTGTCTGCTGAGATTTCACTCTTGAAACAAAGTGACTCCCGAGGCCTTGTTACTAAGAAACACACTTAAATCCTCCAAAATCCTCCACTATTTTCTTGAATGAGTTCCTTGGAATGAATGACCACTGCATCAGCCTTTCAAAATCCTCTGGCAATTCCCATCAAATATGTTGAGGCAGTGCCAAGGATATGTTTGCCCTAGTACTCGGGGGATTAAATTCCCAGGAATGGTCCAGTGGAAAGCCTTCAACCTTGATCTGGTCAGTAAGTCTAGATATGTAAAGAGACGGTATGATCGAGTGACCAGTCACCCCAAGAGTCAAGTCCTTGATAAGCATGTGAGTCCGGTGTACAATGACGTCATGTTGCTACTGCATATGTCACCGGCTGAAACAGTTGTCAAGACAACACGTTGCCATACCAACATGAGTGGTCATACAAAATAAAAAATTGGAAATTGAATTGAAATGAATTGGAAAAAAAAGTGTGTAAAAAAACAGCATTCATTGCTGAAGGTCAATTTAAAATATTTGTGGCATCTCATCAACAGTAAACTGATACATGCAAATCACGAACACAGGAAAACGTCAATTCTTAGGTAGATGTATTGGTTGTTTATTTTCATCCCTGTCCTCCTATTTCATGTTTCTGTCTCTTCTCTTTTGCCTTTTTTGCTTCTCACTTTTTTTTTCTTGGGGCGGGAGAAGGAGGAAGTACCCCCAGGCCTCCCCCATGTCAGTCGGGAATGTTGGTAATAAGAAAAGTTAATTAAAGTTTACATGTACACTGTTTAATCCAAGTATCATACTGTATAAACTTATTCAATCAGGTTTTTGCCTCCAGCCAAGAAATAATAGACTGACATTAGAAAGGAAAGCCATCTCTATTATACCTGGAGAAACATGGATTGGGTTTTGCGTGACTGTCTCAGCATTGCCCCCGCCTGTATCTCAGCGATCAGGTCAGCATTGATTCCACCCTGCTTACTACCCAATGAGGAATCTGGAATTTAAAAAAAAGGAATTAATACTGAATATGTCCAAAGATGTTCCTTACAGGGCATATCTGATTTAGGCGTGGATCCAGGGGGTCCCCAAAAAACCCTGCTCTTAGCAAAAAAAAGGGGAAAAGGGGGGAAAAATAATAAAAACTAGCTTAAAAAAGTGCAGCAATGCTATTTTCAGCAACGTTTGTCATGCATAATGTTTCATCATCGTTTTCGCTTGTCGGCAAAAATGAGACATTAAAATAAATCTCCAGCCCGACACCCCCCCGGAAAATTCCTGATTTGTACCCATTTTAGTCAAGCATCAGACTTTATGACCTCCATTCAGAGTGAAAACCTTGGTCGTGAACCCCATTTAATACTGATTTTTCAAGCGGGCTGTTGCCATGGTAATAAAAAGTAGTCAACACTAACGGAATGTGATTGAAGAAATTTGAAGTGAAGCCTATTCATATAGAAGTTTAAGTCAAAATTTTGGACGTGAAATTTTCATTCCGTGCATAACATCTCCCAAGGTATCAAGTACAAAGAAATTAAACCACATCACGAATATTTTATATCATAATTTTCTGTGTGTCACTTGCCACTCATACTGGTCAATAAACAAATTTGACTGATGGACAGGAAATGTAAACTGAGATACTTTTTGCCCTGCAAAATAATGCAAGTGGATTGGGAAAATGAAAAAGCATTTTGGCACAGCCGTGAATATTGTCTTTCTTCTGTTTTTTTTCTCCTGCCCTCAAATACATGTAGACAGATTAAGAGACAGGAATTTTAACCCAAATTAGAACAAATAATGGCCGCTTGTATATCTCAGTACATTTCAGTGTCACCTCTATTTCAGGCATCCCCCATACTCCTTTTGCCAGTGCAGGCTCATCCCTGAATGCATTAACATCCGACCGAGGAGATCACGCGTTGTGCCAGAAGAGTCACAGTGAAGCATGCACGCAGTAATGTATTATTCATTTTTATACACAGAGACCTGATAGAACTTACGCAGGATTTGCCATCCAGATAATAAATACTGAACGGCCTTCAAAGTGATTGTGAATTATGCATCCAAACATTGCCTGCGTTATCAGTTACGCTGTGTTTGCACTTGTTTAATTACTCTATGTACCCGTAATTGGTCGTTAAGAATGCAAGAATTCATCGGATACCATGAAATTAATTGTGAATTACTAATGTCCAGACGATGAATGAAGGAACAACTTACTTGAGGATCGCCTTGAGTTTTGTGGGCTGGGTTTGAGGACCACACTCGCTAGATCTCTTGGAGACGGAAAGCCAGGCACACTAGGTGATGAGTGGAGAGACAGACTGGTAGTTGGGCTGTGTTGTGGCTGGCTGTTGGTGGGCGGGGGTGCGGGTGGAGGGGGTGGGGATGGTGGGGTAGGGATGGCAGACGTGATGAATGACAGACGAGAAGAAACCTCCCCCGAGTTGTTGGGTTGGTCCCTCCCACTCTGAAGGCTCGTGGGCTGGGATACCATCATGGGTGGAGGCGGGATAACGATTGCAGTGGGCCTGTTGGGCGTGACCATCGGCAAATGAGGGGGCGGTGAGTTAGTGATTGAAGGCGGGGAGGGGGTGTGGTCCCCCTGTGAGGGGTTCTTAGGGGGTGGGGACTGTAGGCGCGTCTCGGATGACCTGTTCAGGGGGATCAGGTGAATGTTTCGTTTTGCAGGGCTGACCAGGCTGCCCTCGTCTGGTTGCACTATTTCCTCCACCATAACGGTTGTGCTGAATCGCAACTCCTTCTTCTCTAGTGAGAGTTTAAGTGGAGGTGATGACTGGGCATCGTCATCGCGAGCCAACGGTGCATCCCCTGGAGAGGAATTTACATGCTCCTCTGTAGTACTCTGCTGATGAAGACTTCTCTCGGGAGACAAAGCAGGAGATGTTATCACTGCCTGGTGACCTGACTTCAGCGAGCTGTTCTTGCTCTCTACGCCGTCTTCCACCAGTGGTTCGGGGCAGTCAGTCTGAGTCCCTTTGCTGCAAAACTCGGCACCTTTCTTGAGAATGCCGGCTTCGCTCAAAATGTTTCTCCCCTTGCCTTCACCTGAAGTCCCCCTCTTACGGGGGCTTGGAAAACCATTCATCTGGAACGTCGGATCCACCTCGGTCAGTTTCTCATAGATTTGCACGTACTGGGGGTCTGGATCAGGTTCGGGGGACTCAGTCACCTCGTAACGGCCAGAGCGGTGGATAAACTCCTTCTCGATGGTTCCCGCAGAGGAGGAGCTGTCATGGTCAGACATGATGGAAGAGGACAGTGACGAGGTGTTGCTTGAAGATGATACGTTGTGCTTGATGTACACTCCTGCCTCGTGGTCAGAAAGGCTCTGGCAACCACTCTGACCTTTACCCTTGGTCTTACCAGTCTAAGAAATGAAAAAAAATACATAAAGGGTTTTTAACAAATGAACTGGAAATTCTTACATATACTTGCACATATTAATCTGAAAATTTTTTCCCTGCCAAGATCAATTATGCACTAAGTGAAGAAAGCGCTTGCTCAGCAAAACAGGTTATACGGTTACCAGCTAAAAGCACCAGGGTGCATGTATTGTTTGTCAGGCTCAGCACATAACCTTGCTCAGCAAAACTTTATTCGCAATCGCTATTTGCAATTCTTGTGGTCACTTCACCAACCCTTTTCTCAACGCTCCGGAGGAATTTGGCAACTTGGAAGTGGCCGCATTTCTTGGCAAGGTCGGATGCCACGAGGAAGTCTTTGTCTTCAGTGTTGACATTGCATCCGTGCTCCACTAGGATCTTAGCACACTAGAGCAAATTAAGTCAATCACACAAATAAAAAAGAGAAAAAGACACTCTATACATGGTTTAAGACTTAACTGAACCAACGACCATGTGCATTTCTGCATCGGTGACTTTTTTGGGGGGGGGGACGGATGCCAAGGGAGACTTGTCAAGCCTTCCCTTACAATGTTCTCCAAGAGTGAAAGTAAATAACTAAACATTTCTCCTAACTGTCCCAATATTTTCCACCACTGTCAAGCCTCAGCTGGAACAAAACTAAATATGTAGTCTTAACCTTAAACTACTAACATCTTCAATAAAACCATCTGGAAAACTGGTTCTGGAGACCTGATAATCAACTTTTCGTTTAACCCCCCCCCCCAAAAAAATTTCTTTTCTGACATTGAACCTGTACTTGTTTTCTGGGTTGCAATTGAGTCTTATCTCTAATTGGGTCTTACCTCCAATTGGCCGTGCTCGGCGGCATCGTGCAGTGGCGTCCCCCCTAAGTGGTCCCTTTCACACGTTGCTCCGTTCTCCAAGAGCCAGCTGACGATCCCAGCGTGACCCCGGCTGGCGGCAAAGTGGAGGGGTGTCGCGCCGTCATTGTCTCGCTCCATCGGCAAGACACCCTGATCCTGGACCTTGAGGAAAATGACTGTTTCTCAGTGAACGATGTGGGTTATTGTCTGAGGGGCACCAGTGTTTATCTTCAAGATGTTTTGCTCATTGCATCAAGTGATGGAAGAGAAACGTATTCACATCAATTTTTCCCCACAAATTAAGAACATCTAAATAATCTCCTAAACAATGTCCAGCAAGTCTCTTTTTTGTAAAAGATTCAAAATTTTTCCATTCAATTTCCAAAGGGTCATCAGGTCCTGAAGAAATAGCAGGTTTTTCAGCACCTCCCCAGTCCTAGCCCTAGCCCTAGCCCATTGGCAAAGGATTTGCTGACACACCTCCCTCAAAAATTGTGGGAGCCTCTGATGGAGAGCAAGACTTTGTAATTGTAGACAAGGCAGACAGTAGTTCAGGAACCAGCATCATGGGAGGGGGTGGTTGACAGGATTCCCGGCAGTTTTTGTGTCAAAGGGCACAGTTTCACTGTTTTTTGGTCAAGTGTCAGATACTGGTATCAATGGTTTTGTGGCAAAGTTGCACCTATGATCTGCAGAACATAAAAAACCTTAACAAAAATTATGCAATGCTGAACTTTAAGGAAGAGGGTCATTCAAACCCCCCGGCCCTTTGGTTCCCCTCTTATTTTTTTTTGAAATTTGACACCTTTGATTCCCTTGGATAAAAGTTACATCATGGACATCAACATCTTTGACATTTTTACCAGCCAGATGAGGCAGCGCAGTTTTCCTGTCTGTGCCGCGGCATGGACTGGTTGCATGCCATCGTTCGCTCGCAAGTGCACGTTGGCGCCTGCCGCCGTCACGAGGTACTGCAGGCAGGACAGGTGGCCATTCTGGACCGCAAAGTAGGCTGGCGTGGTACCGCTCTCCGTCCGTTCATTCACCATGCTGCACAGGGGGACAAATCAATATAACTGAAGACCGCCTAGGGAAACTTAAGAGGCAATTTTAAACATTGGTGTACTGGTCCTTTCAGAGTTTGTGTTTGAAAAATGGAAAGATGTAGTGGCAGTGTCGTAGGCCAATCCATCACAAGTCCGTGCTTGTCCATCCAAAGTCATTCGGTCTTTAGCCAAATCACAAGCTACATGTACTTGAACAAACTGTGACAAAACCCATTCCTTTGTCATTGTCCATACACGCTAATTATGACTGATCTTGTGAAAGAACCTTTGATGGTCTCGGCCGCAACACTTTGTAGTGGAAGGGTTGAAGGACAGGGTGTAATAGCTCAAAAAAGGATCCAAAAACAGAATCATGTCTGATGCAATGATGTCTATCAAACATGCTAATTCGACATCCTTCTGTCTTGGTTTATTTACCTTTTTGGCACTGCATCTTGCAAGTCTGTGAGTCAGGTAACAGTAGGTACATAGGTATGTTTTTGAATTCCACAGGAAAATTTCATGCAACCTCGGTGTGCTGACAAAACTAACTCTGCCCGCACATTTTCTCCTAACATTGATCGCAAAGAATTTAAGCAGATGCAAATTAAATTGTGGAAAAAAAATGACCCCCCTGGGCGCCTCATCAAAGCACTCAGATGCTGGATCCTGCATGACGAGGGAATATGCCATTCCAATGTGAAATCAACTGTAATGCCATTCTCCTTGGTTAGGTCCCAGTGCCCTGCGTATGTACAATTTGATTTGTAGAGCCATGGGCCCATGCTCATGTGAGTGGGTAGAATTCCTGACTTGGGTGTTTTCAATAGAAATGACTAGAAATCCTCTTGCCTCCTATGTAAACACGCTTGGATCTTAAGTGATGGGAGGGGAAAATGTTAATTGTGTGAACATGTATAATGGTGTTATTATAGATGAGAGCTCACAGTTAATTAGCCGCTCCTGAGGTTTTAAAATCCCAACGAAATTAACCTGCAAGGTATTGTGAATGAATGTCAAATAATTAGAGAATATCATTCTCAGAAGAATGAAGGCTAATTTTAGAACTGATTCATTGGACTGGCGGTGTTACTTGGAGATTATCCAATTAATAATCTAGTTCATTTAAAATGTCTGAACATCAAACGTTATGCATCAAGAACCTTCAATAACTGAATTGGGAGCAGGTTGGTTTCAACTGAAAATTGTTCACGTGAACCTAGCTTGGTGCTTTTGATTTTGAAAGGCATAACACATTAATTTCCGAGCTGCATTCAATACTCAACATTCAAAAGCATCAAACTAACAAAATTACTTTCTTAAACACTCAACCACTGATATTTGCTCATGTACATGTACTACTGTGGTGATCAATTTTTTTATGATAAAAAGTCACATAAAGATCCAAGCAGTAGTATTTTCGAAGCAATGTTTTTTCTTGCCATCTGTCATATGTCCTATATACATGTATCTCAGCAGTACTTTTCCTAAACCTGTTTTAAGTTTCACATCACGTGTAATTCTCATAAGCATTGTTTCCACATTATACAAATCATCTTATTTTGCAAGACACCTGTGATACATGTACATTAGTTGTGGTGATATTTTCTTGTTGACCCTAATGATATGATTCTCCTTTGGCCATGCCACCTGTAATACAATCATCACTAATGTCTACCTCTATAGCACAATGGACGCTGCGCAGCATTTTGTCTTCCCCCCTCCCCCGCCTCCTCTGGGCAGGTGATCTGCAACCTGAGCTTGAATAGATGCAGGAAGGCTCCTGGCTTCCTGTTGACAGTACCTGTTATGAAGCATTGCCTTGGCTGATTCTCGAAAGTTAAATTTTCACCAATCTCTGTATTTATTCTCCTGAAGTGTTGCCTCCCTTCAAACAAAATTTACCAATCAACTGGTGTCCAGTTCATTTTAAAGTCACTTTAATGATGCATTTGCCTGATCTGGTCCTGATGTTTAATATCACAGTGCCTGAATTGTTCCTTGGAATGATTAAATACATGTGACTTGAACTGAAGTTCCTACTTAATTTTAACTCAATTTTTTTCCCCCAAACTCCTGATGTGACAGAATGAATCTCACTAACTTAGTGTTGAGTCATGGATGGTGCATTTGTAAACCGACAAAGTTATTAAGTACGACATTACTTCAACTTGTGGCTTCTATGTATAGAATAATCTTACATACGGAGCAAGTAGGCCTACTATTGGATACATTCACCAGTATGATTGCGAGGGATATATAAGCATCAGAATTACTCAACATTCTATGAAAACAAAATTGAATTCTGGGCTAATAATTGATCTCTTGTGCATTTTGATGACTTCTTATGAATATTTAATGTACCACCGGTTGGCAAACGGTCTGAGTGCGGGCACTGTGAATTTTGCACACTTATATCTAGATCTTCAGGATTATGGTGGCGAATAGAAATATTGGGCAGCCAAAAAACGATAGGAAGGTGGTCAACCTCTGTTGAAACAAATCTGATGTCTGGAAATGATTTTGTCTGTAACATTTGAGAAATTCTGGAAAGGTTATTGTAGAAAATAAGACTAACGCTGAGGAAAGCACGTGTTACAGTAAAGTCTGCTTTTCTTGAATATTCTTCAACTATTTCATTAAACATACGAATCAGATTTAAAAAAAAAAGAAAACATTCTTAGACATGGTACCGATATCATTTTGTGAACAAAGCCAAGCAACCGGTGAACAGCTTCGTGATTTATGATAAACCACACTTTGTTTGCATGCTCTTTAATCTGATACTGGTTAAGGGCTTTGCCTAATGCTCGCATCAATCTGAAACTCTCTCGTCCATTGTATCGCTTTTCCTTTGCCTTAATTGACGGCCGCAAAGTGACTGCAGCTGTTAGTTATCTTTTCAAGGAGGGAGGCTTCTGTTTTTCATTAATTGATGACGGGTTTGCTTAAGGCGGACAGCATAAATGCTCACAAGACTAATGAGTTTTGAAATTTGGCAATCTTATTCCACAAAATAATGTTGATCCCTTTACGGTGCATATTTTTGTCTAGTTGATTGGGTTGTGCTTGTTTTAAGAAAGATTAGGAATTCCTATGACTTTTGCCTACTGTACAAAATGAAGCAATCAATTGTCTGAATATCTACATATATAACTACGTGTTAGGCTCAGAATGGAAGCACAAGTATGTGTAAGCTTAGCTTCAGATAAATTTTTTGATAGTGAGACACCTTGTCAATAGTGCATCCCTTTTGTTGGGTCGCTCTGCATACTGGAGTTGTGTGTAATATTTGCACAGCACACACAAATATTTGCCAGTCTTCATTTTTGAATAATTTGATGGGCTAATTAATATGAAGCACCGACACCTTTCCCAATAGGGCACACCAGAAAATTGTAAATAACTAGATGTTTTGTTTGACATAGATTGCGCAGGTATTTTTGCCATTCCCGCACACACATCAGGTTGACGCGCGATCTGCATGGTGATAAACAAAAACGAGTGTCAAGAGGTTCAAAATGCACCTGACTGAAGTAGTTTCAGGGTTAAATTCCAATGGACCGTGGGAACAGGCCAAGACACCCTTGAACTGCATGTATACCTGTGTGTAGAGATATCTCCAGTGTTTAAGCTGCATATTTCACTTGCTTGCAGTGGAATGTTGTCATTGAAATTCCTGTTGCCAAAGCTGCCAGTGGAATGTGGAATTTTTCAAAATCTTGCAAAAGATTTTGCAGAACATTTGCAGATCAAAAAAGGCGAGCATTTTTACACTTAACACAAACTGAATACATGAAGTATTAAAAAAAATGCAGGCCGAAAGAAATCACTTAGATAATAATAATAATGTACCACTTTCTTAATTAGGTATTTGGAGACATTGAGCAGCAATCACACACTCTCCTACATTAGATAAAAATTGAATAAAGATAAACTCAAATATTAATTAAATTTCATTTTCTGAAAACCTTTTTGCAGCGTCTGCACACTATCTCTCGCAGAAAAAATTTTTTTTTTCAGCAAAAGGGCCAAAACTGATTGTAATTAATTTTTGAAAAAGTTCCAACCCTAACCTCTCTTAGTCCTCTAAAAGTCCACAAGTTTTCTTCAGGATATTCCAGTATGTAAGTACAACCATGCCACGGTGATTTTACAAGGGACTTGATGCCTGTGAAACGTTCGAAGTATGGAGAATGTGCCACTGATCTTCCTACAAAGTGATCAACTTTCCTGGTTTCATCAGACACTTCCAAAACCATCAAAGGAAGTTACAAATTACTTCCAACATTTCAGTAACTCCTGTTCACTCAAGACTATCTGGCAACTGACATCCTTTACCCAAATCAAACAGAGAATAATTGCAATTTTTAATTGATTTACCAGCTCACAGGCAGATGAGCACTCTCTTGCAGAAAAGAAACGATCTTTAGATAACTTAAAAAAAAGCAACTATGCACTGATGAGACTTACTCGGGAACAACACTGGTGATGTACATCACACTGGATATGTCACCTCTGGCTGTGGCATAATGCAAGACACTGACGCCTTTCTTGTCTTTATCCCTGATGTTGAGACCGCGCACCTCCACCAGAAAGCGGAGAAGACTGAGATGACCGAACCTGAAGTTTAGGAAACAGGAGGGAAGGTGAATAACTGGGGGTGACACCATATGGCTCTATGTAGATGTCGATATTCAGGATATTTATGTACATCTGTAATATATATTCAGAATGGCACATTTATGGCATGTTAAAATTGTTTTCCCTTTTTGAGTGATACAGAATGCATTTTAGTCATTGGAAGTCTGAAATTCTTCACAATCTGCTTTAATCTTTTGCTCACCACAAAATGTGGAAGGATGATTCCCATCGCCCACCTCAAGTGAGTGTGTGTGGGGGGATATATACTCCAACCCCCCTGGGATTTATGGCCCTGCTGCTTATCCATGTGCTACATGTGACTAAGCATTTTCCCAAGTAATAAACTCACAGTAAAATGTAAATCTATGTAAATTTACATAGTCATTAATACAAAGAATAATTGATTGGTGTTTGGTATGCCTACAACAAGCCTTTACCACGGTTGATATCCAATGATGGATGCACCCGACTACGGATATGTTTAAACATCTCAGCCCCCTTTTAAAATCCCACCACACTGATATTCAAGGTTTGAAATTACTGTACAAGTGTATGCTTCAGAATTGATATGTTAGCCGCCCCCCTTTTGAAAAATCAATGTATATGCAATATCAGGAATCCCTGACACTAAGACGATATTGCACAATGCATTTTAATTCAGTTTTTTGGGGGAAATGCATGCTATATTTTGTAAGGTCAACATTCAAAATCACTGTGAATGCTGCAGGTGTATGAGGATCAGTCTGCATATATGCAGAAAGCACAACTATGCCAGACTTTAAAGGTAGGTATTCTCTGCTTTTACTCAAACTTAAAAGTAAAATTGTGACCCGCTCTGATCAATCGGCAGAGCCACGTTCTGAGTTTTTATTTGTATTGAAAACAGTAAATTGAGCTTTTTATTTTGATGTATCACTCAGTTTGGCATCCTGATGAAAGTGGATGTTCCATGGTGAAGATGTTGTGGATTCCTATTGATTTACACTGTACAAAATTATTCTAAAGGACTTTTTACTCCATAGTGGCTCTGCCAATTTGTGACTCATTTTCATAGAGTGGGTCACAATTGATATACTGTTACCAAAAAATGAGCGATATGTGTCAGTTCAGCTTTAATGGGGACAGAAAGGAGCAATTTGGTTAAATTGATCAATCTCAAACACTGCATCATTGACAAATTTCACAAATGGGGCTGATCTAATAAAATGCACATCACCTCAAATGTAACTGTGAATTACAGTTTAGCACCAATAACACAACCAAAAGAAAGGATTAAAAACAGGTATAGTAACTTCAAGATTTGTTGTTTTGAACCAAAGGATGACCACATGACACAAAGTAAGCAAGTTTTATAGTTCCTACAATCTGTTTAATTTATTAGGTAAAAAGAGTTCCGTTTATGAAGATTGTCTGACACCCTGTGTACAAGAATTAAAAAAAATGTTTTTAAAGTAAATGCTTAAATATTTTCCCCGCTCATTTTTACTTTTTGAAATGTTATCCCCTTCTGATGGCTTGTAAACCACTGCAAGGGAAATAAGTGATGTCCGTATATGGAACTCTTACTGATGGGATGAAGGGACGGGCTGGGTGGGGTGGGGTTGGGTGTGGTACTGATACCTTGCACTGATATGCAGCACTGTGGCTCCGCTATGATCCCTCGCTCCATCGGGGCAGCCCCATCGCAGCAAGTAATCCAGGCAGCTCTGATGGCCGGCCGCGGCCGCATCGTGGCTGGGCAGGGCGCCGTTGTGGGCTGTGGCTATCGTCGAGTGACCGGCCACCTCGACGAGGAATTTCACCAGGTCCAGGCTGCCCGATCGGGCGGCCAGGTGGAGGCACGTCGCACCGTGCGGGTCCCGCAGGTTTCGGTCCAGCTCTCCCCGGGCCATGGCGCGCTTGACGGCCGCCAGCTGGCCCGTGCGGACGGCCAACAAGATTTGGTCCGTGTTCATATTTTTGGCCTCACATCATCACTTCCAAAATGAGATATATTCTTCAGAAAATTTTATACAAAAAACCCTTTCGAAAAGAAGTTCATATACGACAACGAAACGAAAATTGTCCCATAGACGAGAGCTTTAGTCAAGTGCGCGAACAACACCCCCTTTCTTTTCGCGCGACCGGTGAAGACGACAGAGCACGCGCACGCGCTCGTGTTTAAAGTGCGGTAGTTACAAAGAGCAAAAGCGCCCATATATGCGCCTTCATTGTTATCACAGCCCCCCTACCCATTTACACAGGTCATCTTTCGCGACTGCAGGTGTATAGCCCAACTTCGCGCTGAGCGCAATATTCTCCGGACTTCATACATGGGCGGCTCCCATCGGCAAAAATATTTTTCGAGTCGTTTCGAAGGCTCAATACCGTCAGCCAGCGGGCTAAATTAGGGTCGTTTTAAGAAAACAAATACATATACAAGACAGAATTTAAAAAAGACCGACGATTATATCGCGACAATTGATTGTATTAAAACAAATCCATTCAATTCCACATTTGCAAGGGGTGATACCATTGTCAGCATTATTTGGAAAATATGCACTAATCTATGTGAACATTAACTCTAACCCCGTAGGGTGTATGTAAAATCGTATTGAAATTGGAGGATTTGGGACTGTTAGGGTTAATGTGTAAGGAAAAGTTTGAGCGATCACTGAATACGATATTTTCTTCTTAGGACAAAATCAACTTCAAGGTAAATGTTCTCTATCTCAAGTTTAAGCCTCTATTTTCTTTGCCCGTTTGAAGTATGCAGAGTGATTAAGTGGCACACTTGTGTAACATATGACGGAGGTCTGTTTAAAAAGAAATGCATCTGCACTTTCGGAATATTGTTTCGCCATTTTAATCGCCCTCAATGCTATTACACAGCTTATTACATTTATATCTATTTCTTTTCCAGGCTTGAAGATGAAGTACTTTTTATTTATTCCTAGAGGGCGCCCTTTCCAAAATAAGCATAGTTACCCCAACCTTGGAGTTTTGACCACTTAAATTTGGAATTGAAGAGGTATATCTGAATAATTTCAACGATTTCTGAAAGGATTTTGCACCAAAATTGCAAGTAGCCTGAAAGACAACAAAATATCTACATGGTGACAGTTATGGGTTACAAAAAACTACTAAGACATTTTCCCATTTCATTTTGATCTTGACCATTTACCACCTATCCTAAGATAAAAATGTTTACATTTATGTTACCAGGAGTACACAAGTGCTGATTGATAAACTTTGGCATTTAAACGTTTTAATATGAATATCACATTCCAAATCAATATAATAAATAGAGAAAATGCGGAGGCCCCTAACGACCCTTTTGTTAAGTCTGAATATCAAGGTATCACTTTGGGATATTATCACCGCTAAAAATGCAAAAACCCTAAATGTAATGCACCTTCATTGCAGAAAACTACATAAAATATTCCATAACAATGGACTCTAAGTCATGCAAAGTTTGCACTTAGTACACTGAAATAATAAGGTACTCAAATGTTAAATTCCACTTGATAATTTCCTCACAACATAATTTAGGAAAGTATGGACAAATGGGAAGAAGTCTACAAATATGTATTTTCACTATCAGTAGGAAACTAGCAACATGCAAGTTTCATAAACATGTACGCAGAAATGAGGAAGGAAGTGTGTCATGGAACCTCACGTACTTTCCATAAACACCCACTGAATACAATCACTGTTACAAATGGATTTCAGGTTTAAATTAACACCCCCCCTCAACCTCTGAAATGTTAAATATCAGGGGCAAATTTCTTAGAGCTGCTTCAGCACAAAAGTTGCTTAGGCGTGAAAAAACCTTACTTGACAAATCAGCTGCAGGTTACCAGCCAAAACTCCATGTAATGTATGCCGTTTCAGAATGGTATTCATCTGTCGTTTGGTTAGCATGACAATCGCACAGATTTGAGGTGGTAACCTTTTTCAAGCAAGGCTGTTTGTGCTTCAGCAGCTCTATGGAATTGGACCTGGAGGTACATTAAGCAAGTCAAGTGACACCAACTGTCTTCAGGTTTGGAGGTTGAAAGGGGACTACTGCTCTACAGCACTGGACATTTGTTCTGAGAGAATACTTCGCCATAAAAGCATTGGGAAATCCTAGTTGCACAAAAATTAATGGAGGAGACAGGTTTTGTAACGACTCCTTCGGCACTTGCACTGTACAAAAAGGTCCTGCAATTGATCTTTCTACCCTCCTTCCCCCAGAAAAAAATGTCCGAGACTGAAAGACACACTGAAAATAAAGAGAAACTGACTTATAAATTAAGAGATTTCACAATGGATTTTGAAATAAAAGCCTGTAAAACCAGAGTTGAGACAATTGCCTGGAACGTGCACAAAGCATTGGTAAAATACAGCCATTTGATTCAAGTGCAGTGAAAATAGAGTTATTTGGCATGAGAAAATATTTCTTTAGAAGCTTAAATTAACGATCATCCTTGACACAAAATGCTGTCTTGCTTGGCCCGGTACATCTTCAACATGTCTTCCAGTGGGGCGGAGCCATCAAGGACCATAACCGACCCTGGGATGGGGTACTTCTTGCCCACCAGCCAGTCTTCATAGAGTTGGTGGAGTGCCTTTAGGTACTCCAGGGGGATGCCTTCCTCTTCTGTTCTGCACCGCCGCTGTATCCTCTCGTAGCACTGCTCGGGAGACGTCCGGAGGTAGATGATGCGGTCAAGGCCGATATCGTGATTGGAGATCACCCACTGGAAGAGCTCATCCAGCACAGTGAACTCTGGGTCCGACATCATGGATGTCTGGTGCATGTTCTCCACGAAGATGTACCGTGCACTGTACACCGAGCGCTCCATCATTTTGATTGGGGTTGCCACCTGGGTGCGGTGGTTCTCCAGCATGGTGAGCTGGACGTAGGACTGGAATGTGAAGCTCCAGCGTTTGGGGTCACGGTACATGAGGTCGAAGAGGTTGTGGCCTCTTGCGTTCCTCCATTTCTGGACCGGCTCGTCCACGGTGGTGACATCTTCGTGCTGGGAGAAGAACTCCATCAGGGTGGTTTTCCCCGAGCCAATGTTCCCTTCAATGGTGATAGTGACCGGCTTCTTGCCGGTCCTCTGGCCGTTCCAGTGGCCATTCCCAGAGCTGAAAGCCTGGCTCAACATTTTTACTGGGCTGGTATGGCAAGAAAGGGCGTGGAAGGTTGTGCTGTCTTTAGGTTCTTGTCTCCGCAGATACAATGAAAACGTCGGGCCAAGAAAACGTCGGCAGACAGCAACACAAGGCAAGAAACCCTGGAATTTACTCAGCAGCATTGTTGGTTGACCTCCTGCATGTGTACACACAAGTAAGAAATCAAGTTATTGTAAACAAGGTAAATATAATCAAATAAAAATCAACCCTGCTAATATTTATTTCTCTAGGCCTGTACATAGGAAAAACACGTACATCATCTTACAAATAATTTCAAGCTATCAATAATCAAAGTGGCCCTTGCAGATTTGAATCATGCATACATAGTTGAATTAGTATGCGTGAATAACATTCTGAATTCGTGTAAAACAACTGAAAAATCATCATTACTAACATTAGATTATACATGCCTACAGAAATTCTGATGATGTAGGCGGTCACTAGCCATGATTGCGTGTACATCAAATCAAAACCAGATCTCCCAATCAGCTTTTTCAGGTTTTATTGAAAACGAAGTTAGGCCACGGACAAGAAAAAAGACTAATGGCAGAGCACAAGCTCGTCAGCACCTCCCGCACTAATATAACGCTTTATATGAAAGTTGTGTCGGGAGAACTCACCGTTATTTTATACAACGGTTGCGATTATCAGCACAAAGCAGGGTTGTCTCAGAGGACCTGCCTAGACTTGTAGGCAGCCTGGCCAACTGCATGCACGCGTGTTGCACGTGTTTCGACAGGTTTCCAAACGCGCTTATTGGTGGTTAATTGTGGTTTACGTCAGGGGTTTACGTCTTCTCTTGTTGCATAATAGAGGGCGCTATTCTAATAATAGATTAAATGTTCCCTGAAAATAGGAACAGATGTCTGCTTCAGCAGGGACGAAGCGTAGTTCCCAGTATCATTTCTGGGGCTTACGGAACGCCATTCCCTAGAGGGCACCTGTCTGGCCTTTTCTTTGACTTGTCACTCTCTAGCCCTCCCCACGTATCAGTACGCTAACATTTATTGCCCAGAATTATTGGCATATTCAAGAGAATGAACCTTTTTTCTCGGAGCCTAACTTTCACAAAAACTGCTTTTTAAATTTATGAATCCATTTTAATGGTGATAAAATGATACAGCCGTTCTTTTCAAATCTATTTGGCTTTCGTCCTCCCGCTAAAGAACACAATGTTTACTGGGGAAAAGCGCAACGCGGCTCAGATGTACACGTTGTCGTAACACAAATGACGCAAATGACTTTCAGGAGGTTTGGTTATTTATGGCGAAAACCTCATGTCGTATTATTAAAGAATTGTGGAATGGTGACGTGTGGATCCAATGTGTAGTAAACAAAACAGGCAGTTGCATCAGCTGCATATTAATGGGACGATCATGTATTACACTTAGTCGTGACAGAGCTCAGAGAGGGTTTTCTCATTTTCCTGGTTGAAACGCTGTTGTTATATTGGTTCAGCTAATGTTGTCGTGGATGTCATATAGATATTGATTTTCGAAACGGTTTTTCGATTTCCTGAAACCGCAGCACTGATAACACAAATAAATCATTTTGTGCATTGCTTGAATTTGCACATGTTGCCAAGTGTACTAGTTTTGGCTGAAATTAAACGTTTAACTAAATTAACTAGAAATGTCATTTGTAATTCAAGTCGCATTTGTGGGCCTGGTGATATTTATAACGCACAAGGTTTGTGAATGCTTCGCAAGAGCATCCTCGGCAAGAACTCGTCAACAGCAGGACAACTCCAACTCCCAACCAGCTCATGACCCCCCACCCTATAGCAGTTTGTACCCTGACCTCTCCAAGGAGAAAGCCACTGCTGCTGCAAGAGCTACAAGTTCTCCATTCCGATGTGCACTTTCCAGAGTGTTAGACTGGGCTAGTAACAGCAAGAGCTCGTCCTTCAAGGCTATCGCTGATAACTTCACCACGCTGGATGAGGTCAGCAATGCAATCCGAAGAGCTGGGCTGGAGTCAAGTAACTTGATATTTGGTGAGTATCTTTGCAAGAGCAGTGCGCCCACATCCTGCTTGGCCTTCCCCTTCAGGAGACCAGGCCTCGGGCTCTGAGAAAGAGGATAATGAGGATTCTTACATAGCCTATTCGTTTCATACCACAATCTCTTGCCCAAACTGAATCTCAGTCCCTACAGTACGTTGCTAGGACCATCCGAACATTAGTGTAGCACCTTTGCTGTTGGACACGTTCTAGTAGTCACCAACATGTAATGATCAACTTCACAAGTGAGACATCACACAAGACAGCATTTCTCTGTTGCAGTGAAGTTTCAGACTTCATTTATTCAAATTAGCCTACTTCCATTTACAAGTATAAATGACAGTTCACAGCCAACATCTACTTCATGTCAAGACAAATCATGACTAAATGCCGGAATTCAATCCTTTTTATGGAAAACCCTACCAATGAGTTTTAAGAGAAGCGCCATTACAACCAACTTTGGTGCAATGTTGCATGTATGTCATCCAAGCATTTCCTGCCTTTTCTATTAACAGCCTAGGAATTCAATTTTTTTTTGCAGGCATTGATTACACCAAGAGCAATCTGTACACCGGTCAGCAGACCTTTGGTGGGAGGAGTCTCCACGCCCTGGTGCCGGGGTTGCAGAACCCGTATCAACAGGCAAGTCAGATTTTGGCAACAAGAGCTTGGTAGCCCATCGCACAGACAATTTTCTTTGTAACTTTTGGAAATTTCAGTCAGAGGAAAGGAATGGAAAAAGGGGAAATCAATACAGAATAGAGTGGCGGATCCAGGTTTTGTGTCGATGGGGGGGGAGGGGAATATTTCCCCCAAACAAAAGTCCAATTTTGTCACTGATGTAAGAGGCCTCAACACCCCCAACATCAGGTGATGGTGCTGTATTTGAAATGCTAGTGCTTCCAATTCCTTTAAAAAAAGGGAAACCTAGGCAACATGTCAGAGGGAGAGTAACTTGCCCTCGTGCCCACCTGTGGATACGCCACTGACAGAATACTACTAGGTTTGATCTTTTTCTTTGTAATTAACAGTAGAGATTGTGAAATTATGCAGTTTCAAGCCCTTGCGGTGGGTGTGGTTACAAGAAAAGCTCTGCATGTGGCCTTTAATATATGTGCGACTTGTCTCTTGCAACCTTCCATTTTTGTCAAATTATGTAATTGGTGGATTGAATAAGTCACGACCAATGACATGATGCCTCTGGCTCCCGAAATGCTGCCCCCTCAATTGGCTGTGTGGTGAGCCATTATCAACTTTAATTTCCCATTATTTTTATTTAAAATTCCAGGCAATTTCCATTCTCGGCCAGACACTGGCGCCCTTCGACGACGACAATCTCCTGCCGGTCTACGGCTTTGGGGACCTCTCCACCCAGGGCCACTCGGTCTTTCCCTTTCGTGCTGACGGGCTTTGTCACGGCTTTGAGGACGTGCTGGAGTGTTACAATCGTATCACACCGACCGTCACCCTGAGTGGGCCCACGGACTTTGCGCCGGTCATCAACGAGGCCATAAGGATTGTCCAGAAAACGAAAGCAGTATGTATTCCAAAAGCCACATTTAAAAAATTTAACCAAAACAAATATTCACGTTTGAGCACTTTCACCCTTCAAGAGTTGTTACCGTTATTGGAATATTTGACACCATTTTTATTGTGATTTGTGGCAATACGACACAGTACCAAAAAGACTGTGTTTTTTCCACGGTCAACAGGTTCGAAGACAATAATTAACAAGTTTTAGAAGCACTGATTTTGAAAAAGGCCTACTGAAAATTTCTAAGGGATCCCATAATAAAATTTCTAATGATTTAAACACCATGAAAATAATTTCAGGGAACCCAATGCTTTCCCGTAAATATTTTTGATATCTGAATTAATTTATAAGTTTTGGTGTTTGATTGATAAGGAAGTACATATAATCTTTTTTGCACTCAACAGTACCACATCTTGGTCATAATCGCGGATGGCCAGGTCACTAGCGAGAAGCCCACACGCGACGCCATCGTGGCCGCATCCCACTACCCACTGTCGATCATCGTGGTGGGCGTCGGGGACGGGCCCTGGGACATGATGCGGGAGTTCGATGACCGGCTACCCCGCCGGCAATTCGACAACTTCCAGTTCGTGGAGTTCCACCGCGTGATGATGACGGCGTCGTCGGCCAAGGGGAACCGGGAGGCCCGCTTTGCTCTGCACGCGCTCATGGAAATCCCCGACCAGTACTTGGCCATCCGAAAGTTGAATCTCCTAGGCTGAACTGCTTAAGATGCTGCTGTAATTAGTTTCATTTCCAGTGTAGACAATTTCACTTGTCATAATTTAAAGCATTACAGCTGCTGTGATCAGGCTCAGTTCAGTAATCTAAAACTGCAAGAGCAAAGCATTGTAAAGGATAGTATATGTACATGTATTTTTGTAAGTCATGCTTGTTGTATTCTTTGATTATTTTTCTAATTAATTATCTTTTCAGGGAAGAGAGTCCGATCATGATGATCATTGTTCAGGGCTACATGTGCATTAATTTTTTACATTTTTTTTCTTTACATTTCTATTATGTCTTCTTTCCACGGATTTGACTTTTTGTGTATAATTGATTGATGCTTTCTATGCAGTTTGTGGTTAAAAGATCAATGTTACATGTAAGATGCTTAAAGATGCACGTTCTTGCTGACTCGCTTTCTACTTGGCACTTGTTTACAGTGCATGCATGTAATCACAGTCTTTATTTTTTTCCCTTGTATATCTCAAGAGAATTTCGCTTTTAATTAAAGAAGTGATGTAGCCTACCTCAACGTTAACAAAATATAAGTGTGATTTTATCTCACAAGGAACATCCCGGGGGCGGATCCAGGAATTTTCACGCTGGCATTCTTAATATAAACAGCAGAAAAAGTATTTTTTTGAAAAGGTAAATATTTTTGTTCAAATGCAGATAGCATATTACAATGCATTTGTCAACCCCCACAGTTGACTCCTGTATTTCGGAATAAAATATTTCTCTCCGAGACATGGAAAATATACTTCACATTTACAGATCTTATAAGCTTCTTTTCCATGATTTACAGTGCTCCTGTGACTTAAAAATCCTTCGTCGTCCATTTTCTTTAATGTATGGAATTACAATATGGTTTGTCAACTTTACGACAAAGTGGCCAGCTCGTTGTTTTCCACGGCTGCCCGAGGTGACTTCCGAACTTGTGTCTTGTTTGATAGCCCAGGCCTAGTTTATTTCATAGTAAACGCAGCCACTGTGGGCCAACAAATCGTGTTCTTCCACATTCCCCATCCCTAAAGAATTCAGTTCGCATTTCCCATCACTTCTGTAGAAATTGAAAGACCTACAGAGAGCGTTCTTTGAACACGAAGCAGCACAGCTGACAGGATTGCGCACGCCTCTGACTTCGATCACGTGGTTGATCAAACAGGTGTCGGACGCAGCGCGCCCTCCAGTAGCTCCTCTTACGAAGATGGAGGATTGCTGGCAACTTCTGTCCACCTGTGGTTCTTGAAACGAAAGGGAAATTCTCTGTTAAAGAGGGAGGTCTTTCACATATGCGCAAAACATAAATATGCGTGTACTGTTAAATGATATCCTGAATCACTAAGTTATCTATACTGTAATTCGACAACCAGAATTAGAAGCCATTACTGCGGTGGCGCAAATCTCGTGGACTGCAGGTGGTACGTGCGCGTTCCATGCCTCTTCGACCGATGGGATGTCGTGATTTGCCAAATGCACGCTCGCGTAAAGTTGAAAAACGTGCGTATGAGTGCGACGCCACCGCAGTCATGGCATCGAATCAGATTAGTCTATTGACTTGTTATTCTTTTGACCTCGTACGCAGGGGATGAACGCCAACTTTAGGGGGGGGTTCACCATATTGGAGCGTTTCTTGAAGAATAAAGTCAAAATACGCCGATGATCTGAGAGAAAATGTTGACGTTTACATTTTCAATGGTGCACTCGCAGACGAGCCTATATTGCTGGCGCTTCATCACCACCCGATCATTGGGCGGTTGCAGCCGAGATGGATGCAACGCAACCAATCTCATGTAGGCTCCCTTGCCGGCCATGCATGGCCGTCGGATGATGTCGCAAACATGGCCAATTTGCATCGTGACGGGCAGCGTGACTCACCTGCAGTGACCTGCGGCTCCGCCGTGGTCGTGGGCTCCTCCGTGGTGATTCCGTCGAATGTAGCGGTCTTCTCGCAGGCATAGGTGTAACTGATGCCGCAAAAGCTCGTTATGAGCGTGGGAGGTTGTTTTGTTCTCAAGACGACACACTGAGGAGAGGTGGACGACCGCGGAAACCCGGAGGCCCAGTCTGCAAAGGCACAACATTTTAAGTTTTCTCGACTACAATGGTATTTTGATTATTTGATACGATTTTATACAGACGGTCCGTTTGGTCAATGATACGCCAAACAAGCGTAAGGTTTACAGCACATTTTCAGCATATTTTGCTGTTTATATAAACTTAAAGATTATGCAATCCGATAAAAAAACCTTTGAATCTGCAGTACTAAGGTATTTGTTACGACAGTAGAATGTAGAAATTTTTCCAACGGTCGAATGCGGGCTGAAGTCATTTAGGGTGCCGTTAACAGGATCGTGTATGAACTCGCATACAGGTAATGCTGGCGGCATCGTCTACAGCCGGAGTTTACTGGAGCCCCCTTTGTGTCAATCCCACTGATTGGCCGTGGTTCTCAGAGCCCCCAGTGCTAAGGGCCACTAGAACAGCGATCCGCAACTCGGGGATCAAGTCAAGGTGTCCTTATATCAACTTTCTGTTAATTATTGGGAGGCTTGTTACCAAAGTTACATATAGGCATAACCAAGGCCAAAGTAACCTCCAGGAACTCAAGAAGAGGCCTATTTTTTAACATACCCAAATCTGAATTACTTTCTCATTCTATGGACCGAAGCTCTGAAGATCAGACCCTTTTTAACGATCTGACTATCTTCACCTCTGACAAAAATCTGCTCTTTACGCGTACTGCATGGGCTCCATAACCGTAACAGGTTATTTTTCAAGGCTAAGTGATGACTCCATCCAGCCTCAAGCTCCGCTAGCGCTAGGTATCGGCAGTTGTTACGGTCGATCGGCCAATAATGTAACACCGGCCTATAATGTAATAAAAATTGACCGATAATGTCTATACGGTGATTATCGGCGTCCGTGTATTATCGACCGGCTTTGGGTAATTACATTACTTAGTCGGCCGATTTTTTACATTATGGATCGCCTGGCTAATTTTTACATTATCACATTATCGGACAATTTCTGTTACATTATCGGACGATTATTACATTATCGGCCGTAACAACAGCTCCCCACACACAATACATTCATTTACTGGCAAAGCAAAAGTACTATAACCCGACAGGTTATATGAA